ACATACTCCCCTGACTCCCGGGGGTTTTTCACTGAAAGTTCTTGCGCTTGCCCAGACCGCTCCTGAGCACAGGACCCAATTGGATGATTTGGGTCCTGGTGTACTTTTCCCTCAGAGCTTGCCAAAGGGTGACTTTGTAAAGATACTTCTCCCTCTTGTTGTTGGGAAGCAAATTGTTCTGCGCGATGTACTCGGCTAACTCTGATCCCCTCTTTACGTAAACTCCTAGTTTACTCAGGTCACTGTTTTTTTGATAGTAGGCTCCTCTATGTCTGGGACATCGATCGTAAAGATCTCTTAAGTGATCTTTGAGTTGTTCTGGATGCGTGTGGAACGGGTCCTGGTTCTTGTTCTTGTCCTTCTGTAAGATCCCGTTCCGATCCTATGGTTTCACGTTCCTTGGAAGCAGTTTCTATTTCTAGGCGTCCTATGTTTTCTGAGACACCCTGTATCACCGTTGTTAGAAATCAGAATTACCGCGATGACGTGAGTAATGATGATCCGCTCCCCTCACCCTCAGGGGGGGCGGGGTGGAGCCAGACTGTATCTGCAGGACAGTTCCGGTCTGTGGATTTGGATGAGGCGATCATGGATTCCCTGATGATAGTGCTTATATCTGCGACAATTAAATATATTATGTTTAAAATTGGAAGAATATTTGTTGGAATTTTGGTTATCGGACACTAATAATTCAAATTTTATCCACGGATATCGCAGCAGGATATGTAAAAAGTGTGTGAAATGTAATGAAACGGAATGATTTTTATTTGGAATTGAATAACAATTACTTATATTAAACCCTAAAAACTCTTTTGTTAAAATTTTAATTTTAAAGAAATTATTTACTCTAAATTAAAAAAATGTAAAAATATTTTTTACAGATTTTCGTTCAAACTTGTAAATATTGTGTTGATGTTATTTGTGAGCGACATATGGTTGTCGCACATTTCGGGCGTGCCGGGTTGGGAAGGAGAGAAATTTTAATTTCCCATCAGGCTAATTGGTTGTGTACCGGCACGTAATAGACGTGGTTTAGCTTGGGGTGGTAGCGCGCTCGGTTTAAGAGTGCGGGCAGGTGACACAACACCGGCCCCGCTCAGTTTTACCAAAACCTTTAGCGGAATAGTTACGTTTCTATGTGCTTATTTAATATATTTAACCTTGCGTAATAAAAGTGATTGCTTTCAGAGAAGATGCGCGGGGGTCTTCAGACTCCTGGAGATCCACCTATTGGGGGCCTGCAGACTCCTGTAGATCTACTTGGTGTGGGAGAAGGCGAGGATGTAGGGAAACAGCAAAGCGGGTTGAAATCCTCTCTCTCTACTCTCATGTTTCAGTAAGTATTTGCTGTATCTAAACATAGTATAGTTTAAGATTATTGGTTATAATTGTGACTTGATAGTATATGGAAATGAAGAATGTTTTGCCTTTTTGTTATAACATTAGTTGTGTTTTTTATGAATATTAACACGGGAATCTGGAAAGTTCAAATTATGTTGTTTTAAGATTTTGGTTTATATTTAGTTTAGTTAACATTTAGCGTAGAGTTGGATTAGGTACGGTTGGGTACAGAACAAATTTTTGTTTAGAGAGTGTGCGGTTGTAAACATTAGCCATGTTGTTTATGCCAACGGGACTACCCAGGCTAGATGTAGTGTATCCTGTGGCGGTGAGATTGGTTTGAGTGTGGGCCTTACTGTATTGGTGGCTAGCTGTTTATGGGTTTTAATTCGCAGGATTTACAGGTATTATAAGTTTCTCAGTTTATCATAAGATGTGTTGTGTTTAACCATTTGTGGGTTTTATTTGCCATGCTATATATCTTATGTAAAATACAAGAATAACATACTCATTTTTAAATATTTTAGTGTTTTAGATTTATTTAATAATATAGAAACAATTTTAGGTTTCAATTAAACGTGTGAAGCTTTGGACAAGATGGGTTTAAGGTATTAAAATATTATAATTAGGCGATTTGGTGTGAATGTACTGAGGCAAGAGTGCAAGCCGGAGGCTAGAGTTGGTCGGTCATTGCCCTCTGTACCTGTACCTGGTAGCGATTGCAGACTGTCCGATACTGGTCCTTCTGGTTTTCCCTAGTAAGTACTTCAATTTAATATAATTATGTTGCGTAATTTTTCTTAGGAATATATCAATTTAGCTGTTAAAATAAAAATGTCCTTTTTTGTAATAAGTGAAGGTAAATATAACTATTGGACTTATTAAAGGGGAATAATTGGGCAGTAACACTGTTAACGGGAATGAATGTTTAGTTATGAAAGACCGGATGTTGTTTCTGTTGGGACTCAGACTATACTCAAGTTTCCTTATTTATACGAGGGTGAATTGCCCGGCGGACAGGATCCTGTTAAGGTTAGTTTTGATTGTCAAAGATCTTGTTTTTTTCTTTCCTAATTTTAGGACAAATGAGTAGGCAAGGTGTTTAAAAAGTGTAATAAAACGACATTAGTCAGTGCAACATTTTAACCTGAAAAAGATGTTAGTTTGCGAATTGCAATTCTTGCTTAATTTATTAACTTACTTTATTTAGCAAGAAACTGATGAGTTGACCAAAATCTACGCCGAGATTGAAGAATTAATGCGCCACGAGAGGAAGGAAGGTAGGGAGCAGGAGATGCTGCATAATCTGAGGAAGGCACTGCAGATGTTGGCCATCGTAGATGGCGGGAGACCTGATAGTGGGTTCGATGACCAAACTTTCAGGTCAGAGGTTTCGACCCCTGATCTTGCTGGAGGGTTG